AGGACAAATCTGATTCCTAAGCAGAACCTTGAGCAGCACAGCCATAGATCTAAATATCCTGGGAGAAAAGGGATCTTTTTGGACATGGAACAGTCTTCTGACCACCATCAGGTTGGTGAATGCTCAGATAGGCCTCGGGGCGCTGATTAAGCTGGAGATCATTGACATTGTCAAAACGTTTAAAAATGGAATTGGCTGCCTCAGAAAGTCATAAGTTGCCCAGCAGAGTATCCACACCAGTTAAACCCAGCCTGACACAAGGTAGGCAGACACTGAGGAAATGTTAGGAAATTAATGTCAGAGTGACAACATTAGCAAGGAGCTTAACTGGGTGACCTTGGTTCTTCAAGTTGGCAGTTCTGTGTAGGAATCCATAATGGATACTACAGTAATAAGAAAGTTACGACTCGAGAAAAACAAGTACAAAAGTGTAAGGGGTAGACTCTTTCTACTCCCCCTACCATTTGATTTTAAGTGATTAAATGTATCATCTTGAATATATTCTCATTATAAAAATGTTGAAACTACAGAAAATTAATAAGTGAAAGAGAGGGAAAAACCCCCTTTGATTTGCCATCCAAATGTAGCCCCTATTATCTCTTTGAGCATTTCCTGTGATTTTTATTTTCAATATGCACTTTTATATTTAGTATTTTTCTTTAAACACGAATAATTTACATGTTATATTCTTCACAAATATCTTTAGAAGCAATATTATTTATTGTATAAAATAATATATTCTAGTCCTAATTTGCTCAGCTTATCCTCTAATGTTGGGCATTAAGGTTGTATCCACTTCTCGCCTGTTATGAATCTTGAGTAAGATTCATAATAGGGTAAGACTATTTTATAGCATTTTGATAACAGTCATTAAATAGGTTTCCCAAACATTTTTATTTATTTATGCCGCTATCAGCAATATGTGTCAAAATCTGCCAATCCCTCCTCTCGTTGGGTTTTGATACTCAAAATTACTTTCTTATTTCATATGTGAAAAATAGTATTTCAAACTGGATCAGGAAAGGGGGGATTTTATTGGACTGATGCAGGGGTAGCTCACAGAACCCTTGGGCAGGAAGCTAGAGGCACAGCTGGAACTTGGCAGGGCCTCAGACACGGCAGAGATCCATCCGGTCCTCCATTCTCCCCACCAGACCGCCCACCCCCGCTGGCCTCCCCATCTGATTTGTCTCTCTGTGCATCTGTTACTTGGCTTCTGGCTCTGTCTCACTGCATGTGTGTGTTGTCTATCTGTCTTCCTGTGTGTCTCGCTCTGCCTTTCTCTGTGTCTCTGGTCTGCCTGTCTCTCTCATCTGTCAGTCCCTCTCTCTGTCTACAGGCCCTGCCATTCTGCTTTCCCTGTTTTTTCCCTCTCATCTCTGCTTTCCCAGCACCTGGTGAAAAATAGCACCTCCCCCCAGCCCCCCGACCCCTGTGCCTGGCGGTCCCACTTGTCTTTAAGTTCAGTGGCTGTCAGAGGCTGCCTTGGTCCCTGTGTCTACTTATGAATTCTGGACAAAGAGAATCTGGTTGGCTCAGCTTGGTCAGTGCAGTGGCTGCCCTTGGTTTGGGTCATCCCAGTGGCCAGGGAGGGGCAGGGCACGGGGCGAGGCTGGTTCTCAGAGAGAAGGGTGCTGAGGAGAGGAGCCCTGTTGTGAGTGCCTGTACTAAGACTGTAGTCCTGACCCCCCAGACATGATGAGCTGCCTTCTACAAGTGTGCCCTGTGTTCTTTTGTGGGCCTATTAAAGAAAGAAGTGAGATTAGTGAAGACCCTCTCTTGATAGATAATCTATCACGATTGACAGAAACTATCTTCTAGGAATGTATTTGCTGTCCCTAAGGTGAGGAATTGGCTTAATTGGTCCCTGTCTGATACTGTGTGTGTGAAGGGGGTGTGGAGCAATACTGCAGAGTACCCTGATGGTCACACTTATATGTTTGCTTTTTCTTCTGGTTCTAAAACTGTCACTCAACCCTTCCTTCCCCACCCCACTCCCTTTTCTGTACTGACCCTAAGGTAATAAGCAAACTTTGAATTCAGAATTAGCCCTGTGGTTTTCTGTAAGGAGGATGATCCATCACTTTCACCCAAGAAACTCTGGGTCAGTGAGAGTGTGGCTGGTTGTTAGAGGAGGAACAGAGATCCTTGACCTGAAATTCTGAAGCAGGACTGGAGCATGAAGCACAAATAGCAGGGTTGACAGCAAGGCTGTGAATCAGAACCAGGGGGTCAGGCTAGAATGAGGTCAGACTGAGGATGGGGCTTGAGCCAGTAGCTCAGTGTAAGTCTGAGGAGGGCCGGAGGAGGGACAATGAGATGGCGGGAGAGGGGCTAGGGAGGGCGTCCCAAGTTATTACATGCTCCCAGTTCTCATTTGAGGTTTACTGTAATGATGACTCACATAATGCATTCCGTTTCTTCGATTGTTTAATGGGTGATATGTATTTGTGAAACCACATTCTGAAGGCACCAAGGTATCCACTGAAAATTTAATTTCCTTCCTACTCTGGTCACTCAGCCACACAATTCCCTGGGTGAGAATGATTCCCTGGTTAAGGAAATTGAGGCACAAAGAGGCAAATTGCTCAAGGTCACTATCACAGTGTATGTAAGTTATTCTAAGGTATTTTTAAAAATAAATTACATCCACAATACTAATGAAGTTAAAGGTACAGAGATCCCACACGTCTTTGAGGTGCCCACTATGTACAGCCTCTGTGCTGGGTGTAGGACACAAGGGTGATGAAAAACAGAATTTGTATTGACCACAAGAGACACTGAGAAGTTGCTGAAAGTCACTACTTTTCATGTATCTTCCCTATGAAATACATTTTTTAAAAAATCCAGTAATTTGACTTTCTGTATGCATGCTGTATTTCAACTAAAAATATTTTTAAAAATTCTGTAATGAGAAGTCTTGTTTGCTTTCACTTCTGGATAAGCAGACACTTACTGAAATTAAAACTTTGGGAGAGCAGCAAAAAGCCACAGGCCCTCGCAGTCACAGAGAGATCCCCTGTGAAGGATTCATATGTCTGAATGGGAGTGGGGTGGGTTTCCCATGTGGCCCAGGGCCTGTTTGTTCACCAGTTTAGGATATCTGGGGAAGGACAAGAGCAGAGAGTGTGCACCCTATTTCCCCATGCTGCAGCCGGGGCACTGCCACTGTTGAGCTACGTTAGGAGTTGAACTTGGAAGACATTTTCCCCCTCTAGGAAGTGCCATCAACTTTCTGCTTCACATGCATTGCATTGGTCTCCCTGGTCTCACCTGGGTATGTGACCACAAGCTAACAGATTTCTATGAGAAAATGTGTTTCAAGTTTCAAACAGCTGATTTATAACTACCTTTTGGGAATATAACCTCTCAAAATTTGGAATTATCTGTGATTGCTCCATCTATCTTGCTCTTTTGACTGCAGACAATGAATTGCAGGCTTTAAATTAGCTTGGGTGGTTCTTTTGACTTGTGATGGGTTGGTCTGTGTGAGTATGTGTGTACACGTGCATGTCTATCTTAACCTACATGGTGGTACTTCTGAGAATTAGAGATGTAGTAACTCTTTTTTTTTTTTTTTAAATGTGGGCCTGAGTCATTGCTAAATGTAAAGCAAGCATACAGATCAAAGATCAACCAACCGTTTTGGAGCTTCAAGGTCAGTTTAACGTCACATCCAGATTTGAGCTTGAAGGTCATCATTTTAACATCATGTCCAGATTTGGCTTTTAGTCATTCTGTAAGGGTTTTAATTAGACCCCTGATTGCTTGTAAATAGGCCCTCAGTGACCTAAGCCAGTACTGCCTACCATGATAGAAGAAAGCCTTTGAGGTCTTGGAGGACCCATGTTTCATTTGTGGATATGATTGTCAACAGCCTCTCAGAAGAGGAGTCTCCACAATCTATTTGTGAGTTCTAGGATGACTAATGTGGCAGCCAGGATTGACAAGTCTTGACATAATTCATATTGGTGTTTCCATGTGTTGGAGTTGACTTTGACCTTTGACTTGCTATTTCATTCTTTCCTTTCCATGAGGTCACTAGAGCATATGGATTCTGAAGACTTTACAGAGCCCAATCTGAAGTTATAGGCTCCCATGTTGATATAATTTTGTTTGTTTTCAGTTGAGTATGCTATTTTAGTCATGGTGGAGTTCTCAGAACTTTCCTATTGAAGTTTATTTATCTTTCAGTGCACAGAATAGTTCTTTATTTTTTGAATCTTAGGACTAGATCCCGGTGTTACATATCTGATTCAGCAAAAGTAGATTCACCTCAATGCCAGTGGTTTTTGTGGGAGAAAATAGATAACTAATATCAGATTCTATTTGATTCAAAGATTATTTTTAGGAGGGTAAGGTATTTTTTATTGATATATTATTCACATACCACAAAATTCACCCTTTTAGAGTATATAAGTTTATTATACTAAGTGAAGTAAGCCAGGCAAAGACAAATATCATATGATATCACTTATATGTAGAATCCAGAGTATATAAGTCAGTGATATATTTTTTAGTACATTCACAAAATTGTGCAACTGGAATTAGTTCCAGAACATTTCCATCATCCCCAAAACAAATCCCAAGCCCAGGCAAACACTTATCTACTTCCTGTCTTTATAGATTTGCTTATTCTGGGCATTTCATGTAAATGGAGTCATATAATATGTGGACTTTTTTGTCTGGCTTCCTTCACTTAGCATAATATTTTCTTTTTCTTTTTTTTGGTCATACTGCATAGCATGTAGGATCTTAGTTCCCCAACCAGGGATCAAACATGAGCCCCCTGCATTGGAAGCTCAGAGTCTTAACCACTGGACCACCAGGGAAGTCCCTAGCATGATGTTTTCAAGGTTCACCCACATTGTAGCTTGACTCAATGTTTCATTCCCTTTTGTAGCTGAATAATATTTCATTGTATGGTATCTTAGTCCAAGCTGCTATAAGAAATTACCATAGATTGGGTGACTTAAACAACAAACATTTATTTCTTACAGTTCTAGAGGCTGGGAGGTCCAAGGACCAGGTGCCTGCAGATCTGCTGTCTGGTGAGCACCCCTTTCCTGGTTTGTAGGTGGCTATCTTTTTGTTGTATCCTCATGTGGCTGAGAGCAGAGACAGGAAGCAAGCCTAAGGCCACTAATCCCCATGAGGGCTCCACCCTCATGACTTAATTACCTCCCAGTGGCCCCATCTCCAAATACCATCACATTGGGGATTAGGCTTCAATATATGAATTCTGGGACTACACAATCAATCAGTCCATACCATATAGATATTTTATTTTTGTTTATCCATTTATCGGTTGATAGATATTGGGGGTTTTCTACCTTTTAACTATTATGAATTCTGCTGCTATGAATATTCTTGTGCAAGTTTTTGTGTGGACATACATCTTCAAGTTTCTTGGTTATATACCTAGGAGTGGTATTGCTGCCTCATATGGGAACTACGATTAATATTTTGAGGAACTGACAGACTGTTTTTCAAAGTATACATAGCTACCAAAGAGCATGAAAGTTTCAATTTCTCAACATCCTTGCTAACCACTGTTATTGTCTGCCTTTTTGTTTGCTTCTCTCTCTATCTTTTTTTTTTTAATTTATTTTTTTATTGGCGTATAACTGCTTTACAATGGTGTGTTAGTTTCTCCTTTATAACAAAGTGAATCAGTTATACATATACATATGTTCCCATATCTCTTCCCTCTTGAGTCTCCCTCCCTCCCCCCCTCCCCCTCCCCCTCCCCCCCCCCTCCAGGCGGTTCTTTTTTTTTTTTTTTTGTAATTTTGGTTTGCATTTCTTTCATGGTTAATGATGTTAAGCATGTTTTTTCATCTGCTTATTGACCACCTGTGTGTCTTCCTTGGAGAAATGTCTATTCAAGCTCTTTGCCCGCTTAAAAAATTGGGTTATTTTTTCATTGTTGGGTTGTAAGAATTATTTCTATACTCTAAATAATAGACCCATATCAACTATATGATTTGCAAGTATTTTCTCCTGTTCTTGGCTTGTCTTTTCTTTCTCTTAATTTTATCCTTTGAAGCATAAAGTTTTTAATTGTAATAAAGTCCAACTTACTATTTTTTTTTTCTTTGTTGCTTTTGCTTTAGGTGTCATATCTGAGACTCTGACCTAATCCAAGATCAGGAAAATTTACCCCTGTGTTTTCTTTTAAAGGTTTTATAGTCTTAGCTTTTACATTTAGGACTTTGGTCAATTTTGGGTGAATTTTTGTATGTAGTATGAAGTAGGGTCCAACTTCATCCTTTTGCATATGAATATCTCCTTTTCCCAGCACCATTTGTTGAAAAGACTCTTCTTTCCCCCACTAAATCGTCTTGGTACCTTTGTCAAAATGAATTGACCATAAGAGTGAGAGTTTAATTTCTGCATTCTTACTTCCCTCCTTTTAGCTATATGTTTATCTTTCTGCCAGTAAACACTGTCTTGATTCCTGTAGCTTTGTAGTTAGTTTTAAAATTGGGAGGTGTGAGTTCAACAAATTTGTGAAGATAATTTTTTTTTTTTTTTTTTTTGCGGTACGCGGGCCTCTCACTGTTGTGGCCTCTCCCGTTGCGGAGCACAGGCTCCAGATGTGCAGGCTCAGTGGCCATGGCTCATGGGCCCAGCTGCTCCACGGCATGTGGGATCCTCCCGGACCGGGGCACGAACCCGTGTCCTCCGCATCGGCAGGCGGACTCCCAACCACTGCGCCACCAGGGAAGCCCCATGAAGATAATTTTTTGATGTGATGTTGATATTTACTCTTCTACCTCACGTACTTTGAGATATCTTTTCTCTGCCATCATGAGGTCACATTAGAAATGTAACTTTGAAGTAGCCATGAATTCAGTTTCAGGTCTAACCTCACTATTCTTGTATAAAAGGTATGGATTTGGAGTCAGGTCGATTACAAAAGTTTGACCACTAGCTCTGTCTCATTTTTCTAACTATAATATAAAGCTTAGGACCTAAGTCAGAGGATAGTCCTGAGAATTAAAAAATGTAAAATTTATAAAAGTATCTAGCATGATGCCTGAGAAATGATAGATAGAAAATAAATATCTGTTGCCTTTCCCACATCCTCATGGATGCAGAAACTTTCCTTGTACCTTGTAAGATGGTTCTGAATTCTTTTTTTTTTTTTTTGTGGTATGTGGGCCTCTCACTGTTGTGGCCTCTCCCGTTGTGGAGCACAGGCTCCGGACGCGCAGGCTCAACGGCCATGGCTCATGGGCCCAGCCGCTCTGTGGCATGTGGGATCTTCCCGGACCGGGGCACGAACCTGTGTCCCCTGCATCGGCAGGCAGACTCTCAACCACTGTGCCACCAGGGAAGCCCGGTTCTGAATTCTTAAAGTCAGCCTTCTTCCATTTAGAAATTGTTTTCCCCAAAGTCATCATATGGATTGGTATTACTGAATTTGCTAGTCTGTTCTGTGGTGTTGTTTCTAGTGTAGTGTTTGCGACTTTCTTCACTGCTTTATCTCCAATGCCTAGAATTGTGCCTAACCAATAGTAAGTGATGAATATACATCTGTTAAGTGAATACTAAATGTTGATCCCATTTCTTGTGTACTTGGGTAAATATAGTGCACATTGAGAGGAGATACGTGTTTAGGTAGTCCTGCACAACACTTGTGTGAGTAATTTCTGAGATCTTTTCCCCAAGATTTCTTTGAGTACTTTGTCCAGTTAACCGAGAATGTCATTCCCTGGGGTGGTACTTCTTTCCTCCAAATGATGTTGGACTTCCTATGCAGATGTTTTCTCTTCAGGGTAATTTCAGACTGAAATGGGAAGCATCGAGTCTGCGTAGTAAACTACAGAAAGCAAGGAGGAAGGGGAGTGGGGAAGTTGGGTTTGGAGGACGATAAGTAATAATGAGAGACCAGGGAGGGACTTTTAGGGAAGATTGGGTCAAATAGGGAAGCACGTTCCCAGTCTCTGAACATTGCTTATGGTTTTTATGCAACAATCATGGTGTTTCGTGATTCTCTAGACTTCTCAAGTCTAGACATGAAACTTTAAGCAAAGGGTATCCAAATGTTACTACTGGCTGTTATGAATCTGATTCATAGCCAAGAAATGGTGCCTGTGTGTGTTAGGCTATTATCTGTGTGACAGATAAACCAGCCTTTAAAGGTTAAGAGTTCAGTTCAGTTCATGGATTCATAGGATAATTGAGCTTTCAAGCTAGACTGGATCATCAGGCTGAAGGAATGTCGAAGTATTACCTCAGAGAATAGATACCATAGTCAGAAAGGTTTGGAATGGGTTGAACAAAGTTAACCCATTTGGCTTTTATCGTAGTTTGCTTGTTTTAACCGCAGGACCTCTCAGAACCTTCAATGTGCCAATACATATTACACTGTGTCTTCAGGAGGGAATATAGGAGCAGTGTTTCCCAAGGGGACCGGTCTGTGAGGACCTGCTTCTTCTCCCACAGACAGCCCTGTGAGACTGTTACTTGGCAGAGCACATTTTGAATAATTATGACCCAGGATAACAACTTTATTTTTCAGTCATGAAATTTGATTTCTTAGTCTTTTTGAGCTGCTGTTTCTAGGAAGGGTCATGACTGCTGGTATATTACATAGAAGCTGTGTCTTTTGTCTCACTTGTCAAAAAAGTGAAAGCTTAAATTAGAAGCTAAAATCAAACTCCTGAAACATTGCATATATGTATAGATAACTTATAAAATACCCTACCTTTCAGGATCTGACTTTTTTTTAATATGTTACTTGTTTAGCTTGGTCTGTGTGGTACCTGATGAGCCGTGATCTATTGAACTGGTAAAATTTGATTTCTGCAGCTTTTGCTCTGATACACCTTTTAAAAGATAGAGGACAGGAAGAGGCAGGAGGAGGAGGACCCATACCAAACAAGACCACTGACTTTTGCTATGGAATAAACAAAAACGTGAACAGCTACCTTGTTCTGAGTTGTCAGATAAGCTTGTCATGCCTGGAATGCATTCTTGGAGTTCTGTGGTAGAGCAGACTGTATCCAATTACAAATGTGGATGCAGCTACCCTATGCTCCTAATGGCTCTTCCATCTTCCCTCCCTCAACCCAAACACCCTCTCTCCTTCTTCCTCCAAGTCACCCAATAGACTTTGTTTATTTGACTTTCCTTTAAGAGGAGGAAGGGTTTCTTTTAAGGTGGAGGGAGGGCAGAGAGAGAAAGAGAAGGAGAGAGTGTGTGTGTGGGAGAGTGAGAGAAATAGAGAGAGAGAAGGATGTATGGATAGATAAGAAGGAAGGGAGGGAGGGAGGGAAGAAGGAAGGAAAGAGAAAGAAAGAAAAAGGAAGAAAGAAGGAAAGAAAGAAAAGAAAGAAGGAAGGAAAGAGAAAAGGAAGGAAGGAAAGAAAGAAAAGAGAAAGAAGGAAAGAAAGAAAAGAAAGAAGGAAGGAAAGAGAAAAGGAAGGAAGGAAAGAAAAGAAGAGAAAGAAAGGAAAGAAAGAAAGAAAGAAAGAAGAAAAGAAAAGAAAAGAAAAAACCTGTCTAGGTATTGGAAGAGGTCTTAGTGGTATACCTGCCTTCACTTCCAGTAAATCCAGTTTGTGTGTGTTGGTGTGTCACCACTGATGTGTAACGATAGCACAGTTGGGATTCCCAGTGTCAGTAGTTTCCATTCACACCTCCAGTTAAAAGACCCCAGACCTGCTGTTTTTCTTATCTACACTTTCCACGTTCTTGGGAGGCCCGCATTACCTTGCCCTGTCGACTGTGGGGAGGTATGACAAAGGACAGTTCTCTCATGCTGAAGCGTAATGTTCCTCTAAAAACTGAAGCACAGCCAGAGAAAGGAGGGTCAGAGGCTGAAGAGGACTGGTGAGGGTATTTGAGTCAGAATCTGAGATTGGTGAGTGTCAGGGAAATAAGAGAAGCACAGATCAGGTGACCATTTTAGGAAAATGAACCATACAAATCAGAAAAGTAATTACTATTTTACCTTTATTTCAATGATATGTGTTCCTCACTTTTAAAGATCAAGCAAAACAAACAAACAAAAAGCTCAAAGGAGAAATTAAAATATTAA